ATGCTTTTTCACTCTCCAGTTTGGCTGCCCAGGAGAGCAGAGCCACGCTCCCACTGGTAGGTGTAGGACCTTCCTGCATGAAGGGTCTTTGCACCTGCCTGGTTTGGTGGTTGTAGCTGTGTCGGTGTGATCTGCAGGGTGCTTAGGCCGTTGTGTAAGGCCCCCACCTAAGCCTGCTTGCGATGCTGCCCGCTCTGAGCCTGCCTGGCCACACACGCTGGGCTGTGTGGGTAGCCCACTGGCAGAGGTGTGAGCCCGGGCCTGCAGGCTGCCCACCTGCCCTGCAGCAGCGTCGGGATGGTGTAGGAAATACTCCACCTGCCACTTGCTCAGGTCATGCTTTCCCAGTGTTTGCCTTGTTCTCTGCTGGTGCATTCTAGTTAATCTGAGGATTTGCCTACACGTTTTCAACACTAGGACAAAGCTTTTGAATATAGACAAGTGCTTTTAGTGTTTGTAGCATGATGCCAGCCTCGACAAATAACCCTGGTGTCTCTGACCTTTCCTTCCTCTCTCCCCGCTCCGAGGGCTTTTTATCTGCAAGAATCCCTGCACTGCAGGCAATCAAGATGTAACCCCATTTCTGCAGTGCAGAATATGTAGGTTTAACACCCTCTCTATTTCAGCAAATCCAGCAGGTGAATTTTCAGGAATCATTTGTGCTTGCTCCCCACAAGACCAGGAGCAGCCTGTTGGTGCCGGGCCACGGCAGCAAAGCTGGTTGTGCTGCATCTCCTGGCTGCTGCGGGCTGGGGGTGTGGAGAGGCAGCCACGTTCTCCTCCCAGGCTGCAGGACCCCTGCCCGAACTGGTGCCATGTTCTGTGTCTGCAACTGCTCTGTTGGACATGGGGGAACCTAAATCCAGCTCTGAGATGAGCAGAGAGTAAATAAATTCTCGAGACTATCTTTAAACCAATTCTCTCATAGTGTAAGGATTTTTTTTCAGTGCTTTGTGAGTTATTTTTCCTGTTAAGTATCTTCCACAGCCAGCTTAACAAATGGTTCAGGAGGGGTGATGTGACTGTTGCATTTTGTGCACTACTATCTGTATGTAACAGCTGTTAAATCTATAAATCTATTTACTAGTTTAGTAGACTTGTCCTGGTCATACGTGCTACTAATAATAGAAATGCTTTTCTGTATATGTATAGCCTTTCTCCTAAATATGTGAACTGTTACCTGTATTCACGTATTTATTCTTTCTCCTTTAGATCAACTAGTCATACAGAATTTACAAGAAAAGCTTCCAGCAGTGAAAAAGAGACAGAATCCGTTGTAGTTTTAGATCCCGTTTCCACCAGTGGGGATCAGAGGTCTGAAAACACGCTGAATCAGAACAAAATGAAAGAAGAAAAAAGCAAGCCGCTGCATAAAGAAACTAAAGTTGAGAAAATAAAAGAAACAGACAGTTCTAACTGTTAATTGTTATTCTGAAAGGCTGTAACTTTGGGGAAACATTATCTGGACATGTAATTGCTTAGGTGTGTTACTAGGGGCTGCGGTCTGTATTCCACAAACAGTTTTCAATGACATAGATCGAAATAGTCTTTTGTATGCAGTTTTGTTACATGCATTAAAGTGTTCAATAACTATGTATCACTCAAAATCCCTTTTGCATTTTAATTTTGCAGGTATGGTTATTATTTTCCTAGATAGTGTCAGTTACCTTTACTTTAAAACTGTATTTGAAAAGGCTGGTTTTAACTGTTCTTTTACTGAGCAGATAATCTGCCTTGTTGAAGGTCCATTCTAAAGCTTGCCAGAAGCCCCTTGCATCCCTCTTGAACTGGACAGGTTTGGGTTAGACCCTAGGAAGGTGATTACACACGCATCAGCTTTAGTATGGGGGATATTACTAATTATTAAAAAAATCAGCGTTTAGGCACCTTGCTTTAAAAATATTTTGATATCTACTTAAACCATGACCTTGTAGGTCTCCTCACTGCTGTCTCCACACACGCTCTTTGGAGGAAATGAAAAGCACAAGCAGATTGCCCGGTGGACAGCTAGCCCAGAGGCTGAAAAGCAGAGGCAGTGCAGCACGTCATTTCGGTACCAGGACTTTTGGTAACAGCAGCCAAAGTCAGAAGTTTGTGGGCTGAGATTGGAGCTCTCATTTGGATGAAAAGTTTTTCAAAACAGGATGGTAAGTCCTGGGTTTTGTTTCAGTGTTACATAGCAAAGTTTGGAACTGCTGCAGCAGGAGTTTGCATTTAGTGCTGAAAAATATAACTTACCCTAGGCTCCTGCGAGTGTGGACTGCATTTGGGATTCAGTCATTCTAGGACTGCAAGTTATTTGGAATCAGCATTTTGAGAACTCCCAGCTGAAAGCTCAGAGCACTAACAAATGAGCCTTTGCTTTGAACCTGGTAGACACTGGTGGCATTAATTTCTTTACTAGGTAACATTTTAGATGTCTCTATTTGATAACACAAATCCCAGTTTCCCTCAGCCCTTATTTCCTGTGAAGACTGAGATAGGTACAGAATTGATTTGCTCCACTGCCAATTCACATTCCATTGTAGTCTCCTTTTAAACTCAACACAGTTATCTCATTCTTTTATAACAAACGAGCAAATGTAATCAGGGATTTGCCTAAGATTGGTGTAAATGAAATTGGGTGGTCAAGTACTTGAATGCACTTGGATTATTTTTTATTTAATTATTTGAAACAGTGATAGTATTGAAGGATGAATGTTCTGAGTTTGTTGGTTTGGCTCTGCATGCAACTGTCTGGTGCTTTTCCTAAAAATAAAATGATAGTAACGAGTGTGGTAGTTTCACATCTTTTTTGGTGTTTTTTGCATGTTTGCTAAGAAAATCTTGGACTTGATCTAATTACTGAGCTACGTATAATTCCTAAACTTGGGGAAATTTGTCTCTCATTGGTATCTTCGTTTCTGGGGGGCAGTTGGCTCTGGTGGTTAATTTTTCACTTGGGTATCTGTTACTCTGAATTTAAAATGCAACATTTTATATGTGTTTTTCCTCCAATTATTGCTGCTGTATTATACGTTCAAATTTTCAAATTATACAAAAACCCTGATGTTTTTTAAGAAGTATTTCCTTTACTTAAACTGTTTGTTACCTAGGGCATAAATTATTTATTTATCTTTTCACTGTTGCTTATTAAAAAGACTCCTGACAAGTTTCCCAGACCTTGTGAGATTGACTTGTTCTTCCCTGCCTCAGAGTGAAGCAAGCTTCCTAGGGATGCCAATTACAGCTTTGTGCCCTACATTTGGGGTTTGCACTGATGCGACTGTATTGATAGCAAGCTAGAACTGGAGCAAAGTTTCCCTTGTAGGCCAGAGCTAAGCGCAGCATTGAGGAGGTGTGGGGGGATGGAGCAGCATAACAGTCAAGGCCTTTGTTTTTTGTAAAATGTGGGGTTTTTACTGTTTGTCAATAGCTTGCTCTTTGTATGGAGAGAGATTTTGACTTTGGAAAGCAAACATTTAGTTTTGGACTTAACACAGAGGTATTTGTTTTGTCAATTTGCAAATACAGCACAGAATTTTGTGGTATTTTCGAACTATAGCCACTTTTCAGTTAACTTGGTTTAAGCTGAAAGCAGTGGTCTCCTGGGAAAAGAGAAGCTAGTATCTGAATGCTTTTTAAAATGTTTGGCTAAGGCGCTTAAAATAAATGGATTAAGGAATAGTTATTGAAGAATTTTATCTTATTTTTCTAAAGACATTTACCCAAAAGTTAATTTGGCTGACCTAGGTCAGTGTGTTCCCTGGGAGCTGAGCAGGCAGGCTGTGAACCTGCGGGGCTGGCTGAGAGCGCTGTGGAGGCAGCGAATTCTGCTCTGGGGGAGGAAGCACATTAGAAAGTTGTTTTTCTGGCTGTGATTCTTCAGCAAAAGCAATAAATTCAAGATTTGCTTCACCTGAAATAGAAGAGAAAAAAGAAGCTCGTGTTTGCTGTAATACGGTTTCTTGCAACGTTCTCTGGTACACTCAATTTTTTTTTTTTTTTTAAATGCCACGTGATGCTTACGAGGGTCTCTAAACACCTCTCAAAGCCTGGTCCTTAGAAACAAAGGAGTGACAGTCCTGCACTTGGATGGCAGGATTGGGGTTGGTGCGCAGCAGCCTGAGCTGGGGTGGTTATTGCATTCCCTTCTCCACTAATCATCTCACCTGGCCGCCCCTTTCCCAGCACCCACCTTCCTCGGCGCTGGCGCTCCCGGAGCAGTTCCTCCCAGCCAGCTGTGCCTCTTCACCCAGACCTTAACAACTGGATGTAAGCCCAGATGTTGCTTCTGTAACTAACACTTCACCTCTCTCCTCGCTGCTGTTCTCCCCAACCGTCACACTCCTTCCTCCCTGACCTCACCGCCCAACTCCCTTGTTTTGCTGCACGCCCCGTCCCTGAATCCATCTCGGCTCTGTAGGATGCTTTTCGGGGAAGGGGTGGCCGGCGTGTCCATGGGCTCGCAGCACCTTCCAGGTGATTCCCAATGCTGAAACGCAGCGCCGGCTTCGGGGCTGCGCGGAGGCCGGGCCTCCTGTACCAGCCGGCAGAGCCGAGGGGCCGCGGAGCCCCGGGCCCAG